AGTGCTGACACAGTAGGTAAATGGCTCCAGACGGCCACCTGAGACCACGGGAAGAAACTCAGAGAACCAGAAACCAGAAGAAAAAGGAGGTGAAGACAACAAACCCCATAAACACATACCTGTCCTCCGTCCTTCTCTCAGCTTCTTTAAAAGACATACAATTGTATGAAGCAATAATCATACAAACGCTTCGCTGGGATTGTAACACACCATGTCACGACAACACAGAAGGAGGTGAGGAGGGACCACAGCTGCGTAACCACGGCTTCCGTGTATTGCGGGAACCAAGCCAGGACACAGCTGAAGTACCTGGTGCTGTCAAGATGTCACCTAAGCCCCAGAGCAACCGCTAACAAAAGATAGCTTAAAAAAATCCATGTAGTTAAAAGAAAACCAAAAGAATTAAATGGGCACACCAGAAACTATCTACTCAACCTAAAAGAAGGCAGCCAGGGAAAATGTGGATGAAGGCTTGAGGCATTCAGGGATCAAACAGGAAAGAGCAGCTGTGAATCCTGCCTTATCGGTGACTACCTAAACGCAAATGAATTAAACCACCTAATCCGAAGGCAGGGACTGGCGGTTGGATGGAAAACGGGATACAACTATCTGCTGCCTGCAAGAGACGTAGCTTGGATTCAAAGACACAAACAGGCTGGAAGTAAAAGATGGAAGTGACCTAGCACATAAACAGTAACCAAAGCTGGAACTGGAGCTACGGTCCTGCTGGCTGACACGACAGGCTTTCAGATCAAAAGTGTCAGCAGAGTAAGGGACACAGGCGCAGGTGAGCAACAGGTCAGCCAGTAGGAAGACGCAACAGCTATGAACACATGTGGCCGGACAACAGCATCTCAAGGTACACGGCGTCAAGGCAGATACCAGGGAAGGGGGAAGGGGACACTTCAACAAGGACAGCTGGGGACTTCAGTGCAGTGAGGGACGGAACAAGGAGACAGAACATCAACACAAGTGCAGACGACTGAACACCACCGTGAGCCAGTGGGAACTCAGACGGACCCTGCAGCCCCGCCGTGAACCAGCAGGACCTCAGACGGAGACCCTGAACACTGCCGTGAACCAACAGGACCTCAGACGGAGACCCCGACACCACCATGAACCAGCGGGACCTCAGACGGAGACCTTGAACACCACCGTGAACCAGCGGGACCTCAGACGGAGACCTTGAACACCACCGTGAACCAGCGGGACCTCAGACG